ATTTTTTCTACGTCACGAAAATAGGTAAATCCGGACCTGCCGTCTAATGTGTGTTTTGGCCATGTAATGTTGCTGAAATTAAATATGATATTACCTCTGAGTCAGAGCAGCGATCATGGAAGAGAGAACACAAGCAGACAGCACTGGAAGCTGCTAATGCTCATCAGTAAATCAGTGGAAAATAAATAGAAATCATGAATCTGTCTGAGCTATGCATTTTAAAATGAACACTAACTAGTGTAAATGTAGCCTAACAGATGTGTAAACTGAAGACTATTTGAGCTTTATTAAAACTATTTTGCACTGATTTATTGTGTTGGTTACATTTTGTTCCTTTGTGCAGTGTTTCAGGAGATGAGATGTTTCAACTTGTTGATGTTTATACAAACTCAAAAGTTGTTTTTTTTTTAGATAATGTAATCTTGTTAAAATCGATTTCATAAAATTGGTATTGAAAAAAGTATCGTTCAGGAACCGGTATCGAAGTCAAGGTATCGGAATCGATATCGAAAAATTTTGAACGATACCCAGCCCTACGTATCCTTTCAGAATACATCTCTTTCAGAAATGTATTTTTGATGTGCAGCTTTGATATTTGTCTTGGTCATGAAAAAATGAAATATACCAGGGATAACAAGGATCATGACTGGCCTTTGAGGACATTTCTGAGGATATTTAAAGGATATTGCTGCATGTTGCTGCAATTTTATGAAGCTGTCAGTAGATATGGGCACTGGACAGGCTTTTATGGCATCGCTCTTGAACTTTCCAAACCTGTGATCAGTGCTGATTCTCAGAAAAGTGCTGAAGCTGCTTTGAACTTCCACCACGGAAGTCTTCTCTGGAAGAATAATGAATCATTCATATGATTCCTGAAAAAAACCCCTGATAGACGGCTCTCGGTCGTCGAAGGCTTGTGAATTAGTGTGAGCGCTGAGCTTCACACTTCTCAGGCTGTGTGGTGTGGAAACATCTGTTTAATGTGTGTGAATCCAGAATGAATCAATGCTTTAGAGATAACAAGAGAATAGACAGATAAATCGCACAGAATTTGAAATGGTTTCCGTCAATAATCGTCAAACAGCATCCAGTAAAAGCTTGAGCGTAGGTTTACTGTCATATTCTAGTTTACAGTAAAATCAGGCTGCTGATTACTGTTTTTGATATCACCGTTGCATTTTGAGGGTTTGACTGCTGCTGCTCTTGTTCATTGTTCT